CTCGTGCACGGCACCATTCAAGCCTCCCACATCCCAAGCTGCAGGCCTTTGAGGGCTCAGGACCACCAAGCTGGCAGCCGCCCCGTATTTCTTCCGTAGCTCACGGGACGACGCAATGGACAAAACAGTTTTACACGGTGATGGGATGCTGTACACGTGTGTATACGTACGTATGACGTAAATCGCCACTCGAGCTTTAATCCTTTTTCCACTATGAACCTATACATACTGGACTAAAATATCTTCATTTAACTTTCTTTACTTTTTCTAACATCCTTTCAATCCATCGATTTGTTATTGACTTTTAAGGAGCTAATGAAATAAGTTGAAATTGCATCCTTCAGTCTCAAGCAAACTGACAGGGGTGGGTTTCCAAACGGGCCGAGCTCTCACTCACTGTGCTGGATGGGGAACCCCTAATTTGTTCTTGTAGGACCCTCCGTTCCTGTTATGGGCGCTCCTTCTGTGGAACCGCCCAGGCTCCTCAGCTCCTGTCTCCCCGGCCTCGCCCTGAACTCTGACCCCAAATCTGAGCAGTGCCCAGTCCCAGCTGCTCCACTGCCCAGGGCGCTGTCCTGTCTCCGGTCCCAGCACCTGACTCGTCTGGGCCCGGCCTCCCTGCCTCAGGTCTCGCTTCCTTCTGTCCACTTGCCTAGACATGGCTGACTAGTTAATTCCGAGAAGAACGGCGATCATGTGACTTCTCTGTTCAGTGCCACTGAGGACCGTCTTCATGGGGGAGGGAGGCTGCCCTTCAGAGCCCTCTAGGGCCTGGCCCCAGGCAGCAGCTCTGCGCGGAACCGGCCGACCCCTCACAGACACCCCCGCAGGCGCGAAGCGGGTCCCCCTGCGCTCGGCCACCTTCCACCGCAGTCCCCTCCGCCGATGGCTCCGCACGGTCCAGCCCTCCGGGTCTCCGAAGTCCCCTGTAACGCGTCCCGGCTCTGAGCGGCCGGATGGGGTCCTTCGCTCGTCACTCTGACGACAATTACTGTGCGGGGCACGGTGCGTGTTGGCCCCACCCCGCCCGCACCCCGGCGCCGG